AAAAAAAAAAAAAAACACATCTTAGTAAAACCAATACCTTCTCAGCTTCGCATCGAAGCTAAAAGTGGAATATTGTTATTGAGAGAAACAAATTTTATTATATCAAAATAATAAATAATTAGTTACTTCATATTAAAAATAACAATAATAACTTACTGGTTCGACGATCAAAAAAGAGCTATGTTTTTCTTCAGAAGGATAGAGACCAGAAATATTTTCTCGCAGTGATGGATCACCGTTGAGAAAATGAGGGAAAGAAGCGGCTATAGGGAAATCTGAAATATAATGAAAGTGTGCAGTGAATTCATCGAAAGAATACTCATGTAATTTTCGTTAATAATAGACACAAATATTATTTATAAACTATACGTTAAAAGTTGCAATTTTCTATATTCGTTTATTTCTAAAATATCTTCATGTTATTAAAAAATATTTTACTCATAAAAAAAAATATATATATAGTTTTTTTTTGATAACTTTACTTCAGTTAAATGTATTTATCCGTAAGAAAGTACAATTAAAATAGAATGATAAACAGTTAAGTTGATTTATACTTTATAATCCTTCGGCTAAACTAATTCGAATTTCATTAAGTATAGTATTTTTAATTTTTGACATGATTTACATTTTTGAGTTGTTATTGCTATTATTACGAGAGGAATATATGTACCATGATATCTTAGTGAATATAGTTAATTGTTTTTGAAAGATTTTTTACTAATTTTTGTGTAGAGATTTATTGTTACAAATGGAGAACAAACGATCAGACGTTCTTCACTTGACGTTAACTCAAATGATCAAACTTACCATAGTAGCAAGGGGAGACATCCGTAAGACCCGAAGGTAACGGAAATGATTTAGGATTGCTGAAACAGTCTTCTAAGGTTGGATCCAGTTGTGGGTGGGCATACACGTTGTTCGGTAAAACGAACTTGTACACGGACATGCCCGATTTTGATACTTCAGCTTATTTTAAAAAGAAAATGAGTTAAGAATAACTTAAGTGTAAATATTGTGTTTTTTAAAAATCACATCATATATAATAGTTTATTAGTTACTCTGATATTTTAAAGGAGTCACTCGACACATAGTTTTTCTTAAATATTTTAACGTATCTGTTTTTGATATAAACTGATGGTATGTAACACCCTCTGTTGCACCTTGTACACTGTCGCATTTTGGGTCTTCCCAAATTCCAAAATTTGGTCTACCGTTATAATTGTCAACCATGAAAAATCTTGCTGAATTTTCTGGCCCCATGTGAACAGTCACTTCGTCTGTAAATTTGTTGTAGATCTAAAATTGGAGCAAGATTTCATCATTAATCTTACTCAGTTAATCATCATATGCCTTTTTTACTTGGTACAGTATGCCCATGTTTTCTTCAGGTACTAAGCCAGGCATCATGCTTTTAGCTTTTTGGACTAACGGGTCAGTCATGTTCCATAAACAATCATCAATAGTAGTTTTAACGAACATTTGTGTATCCAACATTTTCATCATAAATTGAAACCCATATTTTGTAAACGATGAAGCGTCATAAAGGTAAGAAGCCATTCCCTGAACAAAAAATTATTGTTAAACGTTTACACGGTATTCAAATTAACAAAAATAAATTAATACATTAGTAAATTGTATTTATTAAGTGTCAAATATTAATTTTTTGTTTTGAAATTATTTTTACATTTATTAAGTCAATTTTATTTTTATATTTTATGAGATATTTACCAATGCCGCAAAGTTGGGTAGTACTAATTGAGCGTTTAAATCTACATTGGTCAATTCTGGCAAGAACTTGGTTGTTCTTGTAGCCACGTAAGTCAAGGTTCCATTCTCATTGAACCTCACGTCACTATGTCGCAATAATTCTCTGTAAAAAATTGATTAATTATATTATAAAAGGTTTTTTAGTGATTTTGGCATGGAGATGATTTGTAATAAATATTTCGTGAATTGGACATTAATCATTGAAAACAATATACACTGATAAAGTTAACGAATATTCGATTTAAATAATTAAAACGTAAATGTGTATCCAGATTTAATGTAAAAATACATTAAAAAAATCTTTCGGTAAAATCAACAAATATATTATCAAAATACGTTTAGTAAGCTTTTTGTTAAATGAATTATAATTTTTTTGTTAATTTAACTATTATTTTTATTGAAGAATAAATATTGGATAAAATTAACAAATATTTTGTTAAAAAAAAAAAAAATTGTTCAACTAATTAAAAATTACTAATAATTTAACAAAAATTTTATTAAACATATATTGATAAAAGTATTGTTGCTTTTAACAAGGATTTTTTTTCTGTGTAGTTCCTAGTGTATAATTATTCGATATAAGAATTTCATGATGACAATTTTGATTAAAGGTACGATGCTTTCAAACTAATCAAAAATGCGTTTTTACCTGAAAACAATTGGACCGATTTCATTCAGTTCGAGTTTGTTATCAAGACCATTTTCAAAACGTTCACTGTTAGTCACGTTAAATAAATAAACTCTAAGTAACACTTCATCGGGAGGATTTTTCCACCATTCATATGCAGGTAAGCCCCTTACCATTTTCAGTCTCTGCAATTTAAAATACATGAGAATGTGATTTAGAATTATAAAATACTAATATACAAATACATTCTGTAAAATACACTCGATAATTTAGTGATTATGTTATTTGTGACACATTAAAATAATGTTATATTTTAATAAATAAATTTTGTTTAATTTTATGTTTGATACAATGATCCTTACATTTAGAAAATGTCAATACCAATATCGAATTCTGTATTGAATTTCAATAATGAAATGTACGTAAATTGATAATGTTGTATATATTATGATTACTTATAAATGATATAAAGCAAAATTGTATAGATTGTAAATTTACATTTGATAACAAAGATAATACCTGATAATAATAATAAAATAAGACAACAGTAATATTTTTGACTTATGTACAACTACAAATATAAATGTTATACGGGTTAAAATTGTAATAAACCTATTTCTTAAGATAACAAAAAAGTCGGATCAAAAAAAATTGATTTTGGGGTAATTGGTATTAAGAGTCAAATGAAATATTTATAATATAAATGAAGTATTTATTAAAAAAATTGTTTGTCTATCATTTATAATATTATAAAGCTTCTTTTTTAAAAATATATTAATAAAATGTAAAATTCAAATAATACCAGCGTCTGAGTCGAGAGTAGGAAAAATTAAAAAATAGAAATTTAAAATGTCAAATAATGGGTTAATGCTGCCTCTAAACAGGAGGTCTACTCGCAGTTATGGATTTAAAATAATATATAAAATTAAAAAACCAAGTAAGATGGTTATTATGAATAAAAATGTGTCATCAAAATCATTTAAAATTGTTCAAGTATTTATAATAAAAAAAAAATTGTAACTAAGTTCGTCGAAAGTAAATTTTTGTATGTATTCATACAAAAACAGTCAAAACAAATTATTATTCTAACTTATAAACCTTATTGAGCAATAAGTTTGTACATTGATTAACATGAGACAATTATTCCAATGTCAAATACGATTGTTACACGTCTACTAACTATATATGATGTTATTAAATGATTGGCATTTGCTGTTTGGTTAAACTAAATTTAATTTAACTTACAATTTATATTCTCTTGGTTGTGTATTTCAATAACTTAAATAAACTAAATTTTAAACAACATACTTCAAGTATGTTGCTTTACATTTATTTTATTAAAGGCTCAAAAGTGATTAAGCATATGCCGATGTTATTTTTTTTATTGGCTATTTAACTCTTAATAAACACAAGGCTTAGATAGGAGGAGAATGAAAAAGGAAACCTACATTTGATTGTGCTGGAAACTCAGACGACAAGGTTAAAACAGGTTTCCTCTGGGTTAAATGTTGAAACTAGCAGTATAATTTGTGAACACAAATCTATGGCTTTAATTTAAATTCTAATGGCTGGTATATAATAAAACTTTAAAGTTAATCTATCAAAAAATCAAGAATTCTAAAATCTAATATCATTATATTAATAAAGTTATTACCAGATCCATTAGTAATCCTACTACAATGTCTATTCTTTCTTGTTATTTATTATATACAAGTGGTAAAACGAAACGGAGAAGCACTCTAAACATGCTCAGTTGCAAAGGAAAACCTGCTGTGATAGTGTCAATGTCAAGTACTAGTTTAAACTTTATGCGTCGAAATTGCAAGATAGTAATAATGCTTAATCATTTTTTTAAAATTCTAATTGCTAATATTTAAACATAATTATGCATTAATACAATAAGCTAAAGAAAAATAATTTTAATTAGAAATTCTCTCATGAACATTTTTGTTTGCTATAAACTGTTATTAATATTATGATTAGATTTAGTTCTTTTATAATTATAGGAAAATTAGTTCTTAATTAATCATGAATATTAAGAATATTTAAAATTACATATTGTTTATTCTAATAATTGAGAACTTTGGTTTGTTTATTTGTGTGTCATTATTAATAATAAATATTTATTTAACCAAATACATTATGTTGTATTTATTATGAAAACTTTAGTTATTGATAAATTAATGTATTGTGTATATTAAAAAATTATTACTGGGCAAAATGGTTTATATTTGATTATTTGTATACACTTACCTCATTCATTAATATTTCAAACGGTGTGTGTATTATTGTAAAACTACCAATAAGGAATAAAAGTAACGCCGTTAGGATGAAAAATAAATTACCTGAAAAAAACGTATAATTATGAAAATATTTATCAATAAAACATTTCAATCCAATTTTTATTTTAAAGAAAAAATGTAAAGTTATTTAAAAAAGTGTCAATTTATAATAATAATAATAAAATGTCTATTTTCAAATGACTAGTGTAGAAAAACTAAGTATGTTGGTAATATTATCTCAGTTACGCATTTAAAAAGCTCTCCTTTTACTAAAAGAAATTTAAATCATGTTAAAAAATAATTTAGAATTCTACAGTAGCTTGAAAATATTATAATATAATATTTGAAAATTGAAAAAAGAAATGTTTTCAACTTTTGTAGATAGGCCTTCTAGACCCAATATACAAAAATATTCATGAGTTTTATTGTTTTTGCTTTCGTTATTTTAATAGGTACTCAATATAATCACATAAGTAACATTGTTAACGCTTTCGTATTTCTTAAATTTATTATCAAACTATAATAGGTATACTTTTTCCTATGATATTTTATAGTTGGCATTCATAAATTTATTACAGTAATTAAATTACTACACTGACACAATAGTTAAATGTTATTTGCAATTTGTTTGGAATCAACCTGTGTTAATAGTGAATCTTACCAATTTATACAAAAGGAGTGCTATCATAAAATGTGGCCTTTAAATTTCAGTACCAACATTGCGACATGCATGTTAATAGGACATTATAAAAAGGAAAATAAAGCAAAACGATTTTCACAATTTGATTTTAAGTACATAAGCATTACATTGCTTAATTAAACGAACGTTTAATAAAATATTAGGTGCTGTTATTCGATAAGGTGTAGTAGTGATTTCAGGAATACTTTACGTAGTACTTTTTAAGTGTCATTCAACTGGTTGTATAGTGTTATAAAAGGTTCCCTAGTTTAGATAACTCTTTATTATCAACGAAGTAATTGTTTGGATTTTGACACTGTTATCCTTGGCCATGAAATGCGATTATTTCACTCATTAAAGGTTTGTTTTCTTTTGGTACTATAAGGAAGTAACACAAAGAGAAACCATTCAAGGAAATAAGTGTGTGGTTTTATGCCGTAAAGGCATAAAACAAAAAAACATTATATTTCATTTGGACATGGAATGCGATTAGCGTGAAATACTACTTTATCATGAAGCAACTTTGGCATTTAATTGTTTAAAGTTCCATGCAAGCACTTACTTCTGGGAAAACAAATAGCTTAAATCATTTTGATTTCACGAAAAAGAATTCTCTCTATTTTAAATCAATGAGTTTTAAATATTAATGTTAAACTAGTTATTGTTGCTATAAAACACTATTAATATTTCTTGTGATCACGTAGGTATATTTTCGAAATTTGCTTTTCACTTAAAATTTCCAAATAGGTCATAGGTAGGTCTTTCATGTAGTTCTAAAAACCTGTAACTAATAGTAATCTTGAATTGGCGCGTCTAAACTAATTTGCTTGTTCAAAGGTATTGTCGCTGTTTTAAAAGTAAAAATATTATTTTTAAGTATTAAAAATAGAATATACAATTTTATGTCTCAAAGCGGTGTATAATCTTTGTGCTATACAATGTTATTTTTACTGATTATTATTAACGCCGATAATGGTCACAATAAATGTTTACTATTTCACTTACAAAAATTTATCGATATTATTTTCATACGAGATGTAAATGAATATTGATCAAATATTTTTTTTAAATGAATTAAACTAAGGTTGATTGACTAAGTAAAACTAATATTTTTATCTATTATTTGTTTTATGTGTGACTTGTTTATTTTTTTTACGAAAAAATATTATTTTAGACTAATGTCTCACCAAATAGCTAGAAAAACAAATTTTACAACAATAACAAGAGTTTTAAAAAAAATTATGATAAGCCTAAAATTACCATTTAACTTATTGATATGTCTGAGATAAAACAACTAGAAAGTACATTAATTTCATAATCGAAATTTATGTTTTGTTTTAAAAAGATATATAAATATATACTTCAGCTTTAAAATTGACTACGATTTAGAAACATTGAGTATAAATATTGTGTATACTCGATGATATTAATTTTGTTCAAAGTTTCTATTATATATTGCGAGGGTCGAGGATTGAAGAAGTGTATCAATAAATTTCTTATTTTGCAGAAGAGCAAAATTAAATTTTCATTTTCTATTTAATCTAATGTTAAAATTTAATTTCTTCTTTAAAAATATAAACCTTTTAGTATAATTGTGGTACACTACTTTTACGTTAAATACGTTCCTTTAATTCTAGAACCCCAATTTTTAATTTACGATACATTTTATAAATATTTTTAATACACGATCATAGAATTGTAATAATAGCATTAATAATTATACTTAAAATATCTATTATATGTATGCTTAATAAAAACGCTTCAGACACTTAATTTATTACATAAGACAATTGTAAAATGTAAAAATAAATTTTGTGAGCTGATAATTATTGTAATTAATATTGAAGTTTAAGAAATTTAAACAAACAGGATTAAATGTATACAATATTGATTGTAATTTCAAAGTCTTTTTCAAAATATCACTCTAAACTATTTGCTAAAAGATTTAACATAATACAACAGTCAATTCGTCTGAAAAAATTGAAAACAATCGAATAAACTTTATGTTGTTAAAAAAAAATCAATAATTTAAGACCAAAAAAATATCACCGTACTTGAATATACCATAAGTATAGGCTTAACGACATACATCAATAGGCTAATGAATGAAGCAACGAGAAATAAACTATGTCCAATCTAAATTACAAATATACACTTTTTCAATTTTAGCAATTAATTGTCTACAATAATTAAAATCATTATTCTATTAATATATATACATATATATGTAACACTGGAAGAAAAACGATCAATTTTATAAACTAATTAATATATTTGCTAGTGACTTTTAAGCGTGTCACGCTCCAAGTAATTTAATGATGAGTTTTATAAATTCGTTTTATGATTAAGTCGTTTAATAGTAACCATAATGTAAATGTAGTAACTTTCGGGGTCAACGGTACGGTGCGGTGATGCAACTCCCAGTTCTTTAGTAAAATGGAAATTAAAATGTATTTTTACGAAGAAAAAATATAAACATGTGTCAACTGCCCTTGACCAACTTCTCGTACTCATACCGAAAATAATGACTACTGATATTGATTATCTCATAAAGCAGGTAAGCGTTACTCTCTTTTTCAGTCCCTTTTTGCGTACCTTGGAGATTCATACAGTACTTCAATGTCGTCGTTTGCCAAGGTCAGTCATCAGATACATTTTACGTGTATGTCTATTTAAATGTAGGTGTTTTTAATGACATTGTTCCGTCTTCAGATAACTGTAATTTTAATGAAACTCAGCTTAGATCAATAGCAAACACGTTTCTATTGAACTCAAGAAAAAATTTAATTGTGTAAAATAATATGATAAACATTTTTTTTTTTAGTATCTTAATGAACAGTAATAAAATTTAAATAATAATTAAGTTTGTTTCTTTTACTTCTATTGAGATGAGTAATTTTATCATATATTTATACCTTTACCATTTTTTTATTTTCTTCAAGGGGTTCTATTCCTTAAATTCTCCCTTATGAAAATGTTCGTGAAATCGGCATTAAAATTAATTATTTATTTACTTATTTAATTTATTCTCAATACGGTAGCTAATCCAAACTAACAATTTATGACAGATTAGTTAAACAATTAATAATAAAGAATAAGAGTATATACAATACAATATTGATGAAAATTAATAACTAACGGCAGATCAAAGATTAATGACTAAAGACACAAAAATACACTTATCATGTTTAAATATCGGAAAACAGAAAATATTAGAAAATGTTATATTAACACAAATCTCATTGAGCAATACACGTACTTATAACTAAAATTTGACATATAATTTTATAAATTGGCTAAATGACGGCACAAATGCAAAATTTACAGAGGGCGATTGAAATCAGGAGTACTATTTGCAATTAATCGTAAAAGGGGGGAATAAAAAAAATAATTTGTAGTAGAGGATGGAATAAAGAAAGGAGCAGTATTTTGAGTAGTCCAGCAGGAACACGAAAACTTAACTTCTAGAGTAAAATAGGAGGATATATTTCACTGAATATAATTATAGAGAGGAAACGAATGTCTGCTTCATGTCTTCGATTAGCTGAGAGTTGTATGGTATCTTGAATTTAGGATAAGTCATTATTCTTGTTGACGTTATTGTTTTTCGATGAACAATATTAATTTCATATTGAATTAAATTCACGATTTATTGCAATTTTATTAATTTTCAATTAACTCGAAACTTTCCGTTAGGACATTTTTTTAAAAATTTTGTAATATTTCAATTCGCTGTACTCAAACAGTTAATTACCTTAGCAAATAATAATAAATTATCATAAATACAAAATGCAACGTATGCTAAATGATAACGGTCAACTTATATAAATTATTCATTATTTTACATAAATTAATTTTCATGTTTTGTGATTCATATAGTGCATCACAATGTACATCATAATATCATGCTTTTAAGGGCATTTATTTTTAAATTTTTTACTTATTAAGGATGTTAAATTAATTCAACAGAAAAATAATTATTGCTTGATGACAATGCAATATATGTATACTGTCTTCGCTTTTCCTCTTATACAATTAACAGTTACTAAAATGTCAGGCTCTAAACAATTTTTATAGAAATTGTACCATAAGTAGCTATTAATTAATGAAAATTATAATACACAACAGGAAAAAATTTTGTTTTGCGGATAATTTTTTTTGTTTACTTTAGATCATATAGGAATTATTTAATAGAGAAAATGAAAAATGTTACGCAAAAAACCGTCCAAAAATAAATAAATAAACAAGTTTCTATTAAAAACAACTAGAAAATGTTCAATTATGTATTTCGCAAATTACAACTAATCCAATCTAATATTCAATTGTAGGTCTATATCACTCTAAAATTATATTTCACAAATGAACTTAATGTTTATCATTAATG